ACACACAATGCAAAGGTTAAGTGAACGTCTCTCCTTTTTATCTGCTTTCAGGTGTGATTTCTATATTGCCCACACCTGTTACTTGCCCCAGGTGAGTTTACAGGAGCATCACATGCTTGTAACATTCTTATTTATCCGCAGTTGTGAAAGGGTGCCAATACTTTTGTCCAGCCCATTTTTGGAGGTTTGTGTGACATTATGTCGAATTTGCTTTCTTTCCTCCCTTTTTTTGTTTTGTCCCAATACACACAAAGGGAATAAACATGTGTATAGCAAAACATGTGTTAATGCACGTTTCGTGAGAAATACATGATTTCCTGGAGAAATATCAAGGGTGCCAACAATTTCGGCCATGACTGTATTTCCAGGTTACGGAATGTGTCACCTATTTTTCTGTGTATATCCATTGTAATGCTTTAACCTAAATTAGACTTGATTCACATCTGTGCGGGTGGTGCTGCTGCAGGACCCACACAAATACCTGCAGACAGACCACCCACACAGAGGAATGCTGACCCGCAGGGGGTTGCAATTAATTCTAATGGCACACCGCACGCACTGGAAATCGCAACTGTACTGGGAACCTCGGTTCTCGTGTGGGCTGCTATTTCCCAAGTAGTGCTGGGACTTCTTCCCTCTGTGTCCCAGGGCACGGGAGTCCATTCAGATGAATGGGCTTCCGTGCCTGTGCAAATCACGGCCGCACATATGTGAACCTGGCCTTAAGGATCATATCCTTCACACACCAGGACCAGATGATTGCACACATTTTAGAATGTCTGTTTCAGTTCAAAATTAATTTAAAGTATTTTTCTATTTAAAGATAACTATTTGGTTACATTTCCCTGACAGCGATGCACACAACAGAGCTAGTTGTCACAGTAGCATAAATGTATAGATTAATGTATTAACAACTGGTATCACTAAAACATACAGCACAAAAAGAACAACAAAAAAGCAACAGACAGTGAAAATTAGACAAAACTGTCTCTAGCACCTTATATTGTTTATAATTTGTGTTGTGGTGGGTAGAAATCCTTGAGGGATATGAATCAGAAGAAACCCACATGTTTCGATTTAGTAACAAAGAAAAAGTATTGGGCTCTACAATTACAACTCCTATCCTTAGAAGAGTCTTTGCCTAATAGAGAACATGCATGGGCATTAACTATGTAGTTATAATTGTACTTGGAGTATTAGAAAAATAGAAAAGGTTTGTATCAAGCATTTGCATGAAATGCAAAATTGTCAGTCAACTCAGTCTACATTTCATTTACTATTAGGTTGTCCTTTCTATGTACAGTAGGTGATTCAGGATCACACCAGGAGCTGATAGAGCAGGACGTTCAGCCATGTTGACCAGATTTTATCAAACTTTTGTGGGCACCCCCTCTTGTCATTGTGAGCTATTCTTTTTCCAAAAGTGAGTTAATTGAGGTTTTTTTTGTTTTGAAACATAGGTGGTACGTGGGACAGCCATTATTGGGAAATTTGTTTCCAGGCAATAAATGGTATTTTAGTTAGTATGGCTGAATATGTTCTGGAATGTTTTCAGGTAATATGATCAAGATGCCTATCTTGGGAATGTAGAGTATTTTTAAAAAATTGTTTCCCTTTGGAATGGGAAAAGACAGCAAACAACATGGCAAAGGATCTAACCCTTTCTCGTCCTCCTAGAACAATAAATAGACAATTAAGCTTTTTATTGCTGTGTCCCTATCAAAGAGATTTATTTCCTGTTCAATGAATGTTGAAGAGAAGTTGGTAAAAGGAAGTGTGATGAAATTGCCACAGCCAGACAGTTCCTCCCCCAAGTCACTGCCCGCTTCCCAGTCCGGGTACCATACTCCCTCATTCCACTGCCAGGAAATTCCTCAATCCACTGTTGGCCACCCATGGCAGATCCTCGTGCAGAAACGCATATCTTATTAGCACTGTACAGATTACAAGAGTTGAATTTAGGCCATGGGTTATACAGTATGCTACCTTCAGATGATTGGTCACTGGTGAAAGTTTTTGCTGGGAACTGCCCCCCAGTGTATCCATATAACCTCACCCACTTCATGAGGCTCCAGACTTTAAGCAAACTGTTAAGTCAAACACTGGTTGACTCCTTTCGCCAACCTAGTACTGGAAAAAGACATTGCTGTCTTTAGCACCCTATTCCCCCTGACATGTGGTCTGTAGGTACCTCATAGTTACATAGTTAGTCTGGCTGAAAAAAGACAAAAGTCCATCCAGTTCAACCATTAAAAAAAAAAAAAAAAAAAATATCCTTTACCCACAGTTGATCCAGAGGAAAGCAAATAACCCAGCAAAAAAAATCCTTCCTGATCCCCCTAAAGGCAATCGGATATTCCCTGGATCAACTTTACCTATAAATGTTAGTGTCCAGTTATATTCTGTGTATCTAAGAAAGAATCCAGGCCTTTTTTTTAAAGCAATCCACTGAGCTAGCCAGAACCAACTCTTGAGGGAGTCTATTCCACATTTTCACAGCTCTTACTGTGAAGAAACCTTTCTGTGTTTGGAGATTAAATTTCTTTTCCTCCAGACGTAAAGAGTGCCCCTTGTCCTCTGTGATGACCTCAGGGTGAATAGCTCAACACTGAGTTCACAATATGAACCACTGATGTATTTATACATCTTGATCATATCCCCCCTTAATCTCCTCTTCTCAAGAGAGAATAAATTCAGTTCCTCTAATCTTTCCTCATAGCTGATCTCCTCTATGTCTCTTATCTGTTTGGCTGCCCTTTTCTGTACTTTCTCTAGTTCCCCAATGTTCTTTTTGTGAATTGGTGCCCAAAACTGAACTGCAGATGAGGTATTACTAATGATTTGTACAGGGGTAATATGATATCTCTCTCTCTGGAGTCCTTACCTCTTTTAATACAAGAGAGGATTTTGCTTGCTTTAGAAACCGCAGCTTGGCATTTCATGCCATTACATTGCATGCCACTGTGCTTGCTCACTCATCTCACCAAACCTCTTCAATTATGTGATTGCTCTACAGACTCTTTCCCAGAGATCTCTTGGCTTCTCTAATTCCCTGCTATTAACCATATAGGCACATTGCAACCTCTAGGTAGGGTGCTCCCCTTTCTCAGGGCATGCTCCCGTACGTTCTGTATCATGTGAGGACGTTCTCACCTAGTGTGATGATAGGGAACCCCATCCTAAAATTTGTTCCCATTTTCCATTCTGCATCTTCTTCTGTTGTGGAATCACAAAGCCCCTAGCTCTTGGCACCCGGCAGGTCTTGGTTAAGTCTTGATTATTCTCTTGCTAACATCTTGTTCACACTCCTTGTGCAGTCCCCTTTGCAAGAAGGTGCTTTTCTTCATCACTGTTGCGATTCTCTGTGCCCTTCCTCAGGTAGTGTTTCCCATGCAGAGCCCTGCCTTTGTGCTTAAAGGGTTTATACCCTTATAAAGGCCTCTGTATGAACATAACCTTCTCTGTGTTAACCCTAACAGCAGTAGTTCTGCTTTGAAACCCCCCCCCCCCCTGAGGGCCCCCTCCTTTGGTTGTTTCTCAGGCTAGCTGGTAAGTGTTGCTGAGAAATCCTTTTGTTTGTTTGCAAAGTACCTATTGCACCCTTTCCTTCTTTTCTACCTGGCTGGGTAGTTGTTTTCCTCCAGGTTGGTGGCTTTAATCCCTGGGCAACAAATTGGTGAGCCAGAGCACATCATGTGGATGTTAATGTCTAGGGTTTTCCTGGGAAAAGTTTTGCCCTTCCCTATTCCGACTACAAAAAAAACCAAAACGCTTTATTAACAAATGTAAGTACATGTGGTGTGGCTCTCATGTGTTGGCCTCATGCTGCTGTTATTTTTAGCCGCAGACATACTTGTTGAACTGTATCCATCATAGTCCTCGTATTTATGTAAGCAAAGTGAATATACATCTAAGATGGCATTAATTTTGGCAGTGCCTTAGTTAATAGTTTAAAAAAAAAAAAAAAATCTTAATTTGTTTTGCAACATCCACTTCATTAATTGCGGTAATAAAAGATTGAATATATTGTTGGCTACTCTAAAAGTTGCTTGGAACAGACTCTTATCTAGAGCTGCAGCTATAACATATTATCCACTGTCCTTTTTTGTCAGCAGTATGAGACTGCCGAATATGCAGTTTGGGGTCTGTCTGCATTGAACCTTAGTTGATTGTATTTAAACTTGAATGACCAAATGAGAAACCGCACTAAAAGCATACCTTTACCCATGTACCAAAGTGGTTGTAAAGGCACACCTTTTGTGTGCAGTAATCCCCCCAGCCCACCTAATACTCGCCTAAGCCCCCTCTCGTTCCAGCGATGCATCAGAGTCTTGGCTATCCTGGGACTACCTCTTATCATTGGCTGAGACAGCAGCAGGAGCTATTGGCTCCCGCTGCTGTCAATCACAGCAAGTGAGCTAATTAGAAGAGAGTGAGGACAGGGTCGAGCCGCGGCTCCGTGTGTGGATGGACACACAGCGCAGCGAGTGCCCCCATAGCAAGCTGCTTGCTGTGGGGACACCCGACAGGAAGGAGGAGCCAGGAGAGCCTGTGGAGGACCCGAGAAGAGGAGGTTCCGGGCTGCTCTGTGCAAAACCACTGCACACCGCAGGTCAGCAAAGACCTGTGTTTTTTTTTTTTTTTTTTGTTTTTAAATATGCCTTTAGGATTACTTTCAGATATCGTAGCATATTTTCACAGTGTGCGTAGGTATGTTCCCATGTTTGTGTTTTTCTAGGAGAAACTTTCCCTTTGGAACACCAGCTGTAAAAAGCTCATGTTCTGTACTCATGCCTTGCATGTGTTTTTTCTTGTTGAATTCACTGGGTAACTCCGGTGTAGCTCTTGGCCATTCCCATGAGGTTCAGAAAGTGACTTTGTAATTTTCATTGACTTCTAATTGTGCTTATGTTCTATTGTGCATTGTTTACTTTCTGAGAAATGGTTTGTAGTAGCTTTGTATTTATGTTAGTAATAATAAATTGTATTTCTGTCCCCAGGGAGGCTGTAATCAAACATTCTTTGGTGCATAAAGTTTTCCTGGACTTTTTTTGCCATTCATCCCCAAAAATAAAATCGGTACGTAAATGCTGATGACATTTTACTAGTTTGATTTATTTTGTTTTATGCTTGCCATCTAGATGTCTTAAAATGAATGGTTTTATAACTGTTTATATAATATAATTTTACCTGTGTTTTGGGAGGAAAAATTTTGGCTAAATATGAATGAAATTCAGTTACAGGCATGAGCCATTGATGCATAATATTCTAAAAGGTTTCATGAAATGGAGTATTAAAATTTTGTGTTTTAAAGAAAACCTATAGGTATAGTAAGAGTATAAAAAAAGCACCGACAGTGTAGTGTACCTGGCAGGAGCCCTGTGGTGTGTTTGTGCATGTGTGAATATGCCACGGGCTCTGCCAGTTAACCTGATGGCATTTCTGTGCATGTGTGAGATACTTCCAAACTAGCTCTTGAGATGTGTGAAGTAATGTAGGAGGCAGTTTGCAGGATCTCGTGCATGCATAGAAATGCAGCAGGGAAGTGACCCTTTGCACACCTGGATATGTCATCCTTGTCTAGATGAAGATTGAGGATGCGTACATCTTTAAAAAAGAGGTGTTTGTATATTGTAAGTTAAATGTAATGTACAGCGCTGAGCAAACCGTTGGCGCTATATAAATACTGTATAATAATAATAGAATGTTGTCTCATCAAGCCAGTTAGTGCATCTTTTTACATGTTTTTTGATATTTTTACCATGTGTTGAAAAAATATTTGCTGAAATCAGTAGCTCAAGGAAAAATTAACACACAGAACTGAAAGGTTTGTAGCAGTGTTTCACATAATTTTTTAGATGCTTCATATCTTTATATGATATTTCAGTGAGAGAGATTCTGCCTGAAGGGATTAGTGCTGTCTCTTTATATGATTTTGTAATGTTGTATAATCTTAGGAAATGATTGAAGCTATCAGAGAAGCTGTGATGTACATCATCCATACACATGATGGTGCCAGAGTGGGAATGCACTGCATATGGCATGGGACACCTAAGGTATGGCTTAGGAAATTGTTATATTCTTAATATTTTACACAAAATGTATTTTTGGGGGGATATCCCTAAATAAGACCTACCTAGCTTCTCAGTCAGGAATTCAGTCAGAATGACTTTAACAGCCATTCAGGAAGTATAATGATAATGTTACTTAAGGCGGTATTAAACCCTAAACCAAAAATGTAATATATTGCAGCTTACCAGTCCTTAGATGTGGTGGCTGCGTTAGTTTTTTTTTTTTTTTTCTTTTTTCAGGCTTTATTCTGCTTTCACCTGGTGATCTTGCCAGTAACACACCAGCTGTATTAGAATTCCTTCACTCTGGATGAAGAAGCACAAGGTCACCTTTGGACAGCAGCATTGTCAGTCTAGAGGGAAGGGGACTGTTAGATGTGCTTGCAGTTTTAGATACAGTAACAAATTGAGGCCAGACTCCAGCCAACACTGCAGCTACACTAGCAGAAACAGTAAAAATAGTTTTTTTTTTTTTTTCTTTTGAGATAAAGGTTCTGCATAAATATGTCAACACCCCTCTCTGTTAATTGGTTTGTCCCAACACTAAACTGCTATATAAAGGAAAGACTAAAAATGAATTGGTGTTTAAATTGGAATTGTGTTTAAATGCCCTTTGTGGAAAGAACGCTAATGAACTTGGCAGCAGAGAACAAGGAATTGATAAATGTGTGTGTGTACTTAGTTCTAAGACCTATTCTGACCCTGTTAAACTTGGTCTGGGCATCTAATCTTCAAAAGAGAGAGGATAATGTAAAGGCCTTATACATAAAGCCATTGTTATCACTAAATTGTATTGGTTTTCTGTCATTGTGTTAGGTAAACTAAGTAAATTTAAGTGACAAGATATATACATTGCATTGTTTAGGATAGAGTTAGACTCTATCATCAAGGCAGTTGAAGAAGAACTCTGCTTAAGGCTTCATGCACGCAGCCATATAGGGGCCTTACAGAGTGGGGAGCCTGTGTAATTACTATCCCGGAACCCGCAGCTGCTGCATACAGCTACACATATAAATGATAAATTGCTGTACGTAGTTGTACACCAGGGGTTGCGTAAAGCAATATCTGTGTTCGGAGCATATGTTGTGTGAATTCTTTACACAATCCCCTACACACAGTTGTGTCTTCTAATTCACTCAATGGGCAGCTGTGATGGTCCCTGAGGAGTAATTGTGCAGGCTCTGCCCTAATAGAGAGGATAGTTAAAAAAAAAAAAAAATTTATTGGGTATGTGATGGACTCCTGACACCCCGACTGGGTATCTCTGCCAAGAAGCTGATACCCAAGCTCTAGAACACGAGGCAAGTGACCATAGCTGTAGCTATATTAGCATTGACAATACCCACCCCAAACAGTCCGGTGCCCACATAGGAATGCATTATACATAGGATGTCATATATTACAATCATAGTTCTTTCTGGATAACTTGAAAACACAATAAAAAACATAGTTCTCCAGGCAATGGTTTTCCTGCAGCCCCAAGTCCATGACAGGGTAGATGTGAAATGTTCCTAATATAGCCAACAAGAGAAATACAAAAAAAATTGAATGTAATAAGATCACATAAAAATGTAAATGAAAAAAAAAAAAACATGTACTTCTGTAACCCCCGCATTCTGCATTCCGTTCCACCGGATGCCAGTACCTCACCCAAATAAAAGAATGCCTCATTATAGTGTAGTAAGTCAGTAAAAAAACTGTATTTATTAAAGTCACACTTACATTATATATTAAAATGTTAAGCACTTTACAACAACCATGGATCCTCTCACTTCTGCAAACTGTCTCCACTCACGCCTACATCACCGTCACGTGACTTCATCAGGGATCCTCATTCTTTTATTTGGGTGAGGTACTTACATCCGGAGGAACAGAGGATTTTCATTATTACCTATTATTATCTATTATATGGGAGGAGAAGTAGATAGCCCTCTAGTGGCTAAGTAAGATATTGCGAGGTCTGGATTTATGGAGATGTCTTATTAAATACATGCAAGTGTTGCATACGTTGGAGCCGACTGGTATCCGCTGAGACGGAGGATTTATAATACCATCCATCTTAAAAGTATCCATTATATGGGAGGAGGAACGGATAAAGGAGATATCGCGAGGTATGTGATGGCATATCTTATATTCAATAAATTATTTGAACAAGAAAGCAGAATTGCACTTTGCACATTACATATGTCTGAACATGTTAGACATATGGATGTATTTTAAGGATTACATTTTTGTATTGGACTAATTAAATAAAAAAAGATGAAGTTTTTAGTGCTTATCTGCAGTTTTGCAAGTTGATTGTCTACAGTTTTGTATGACTTGGCTTTTCACCATTTGTAAATCTACTCATATTGGCAATATATAAGCTTAAAATTGTATCTTTATTGACTATGCTTTGTGCTAATCGTTTTAGTGTATTTCTATATATAATATAGTTTTAAAAAGCATTTTCACCACTAACATAGGAAGTACAACATCAATACCATATTGTAATTCTATGGGTTCTGCACGTATATATCTTGGAGATCTTTAGTGAATGTCCAGGTCTGTATGTAAATGGAAATCAGAGAAACATTGATTCAGCCATCTAAGTTGCAAAATGAGAAGCAGAACCTGGCATTGAAAGGATAAAGGATTGCTATATCAACCGCCTTTTGCGTGCCATATAAGGTAATGATGGGCGCAAGGGGGTTCTCTCATTCTGGGAGGACGTCATATGACGTCCTCCCATTCTAACCACGCATGCTCTGCTCCTCGGACACAGCGGATCACCGATCAACGGAAAGAGCCGAAGATGTCAGCTCGGTCATGTGATCAGCTGTGTCAAATCACAACTGATCACATGTAAATAAGGAAATGCCGGTTATCGGCATTTCTCTCTTTACGAGCTGTCACGCTGACAGCTCGAGAGGAGGTAATTGGCATTCCTCAGAGGGGACATGTACACTGATCATCAGGGCACTGATTATCAGTGTGCCCTGATGATCAGCGTAGCCCCAGCAGTGCCAGCTGCCAGTGCTCATCAATGCCACCTGCCAGTACCCATCAATGCCACATATCAGTTCCTACCAGTGCACATCAATGCCACATATCAGTGCCCATCTGAGCTACCTTTCAGTGCCGCCTATCAGTGTGCATCAGTGCCACCTATCAGTGCCATATATGAGTGCTGCCTTTTATTACCCATCAGTGCATCCTCATTAGCGCACATCAGTGAAGGAGAAAAATCACTTATTTACAAACTTTTATAACAAAAACTAAGAAAAAACATTTTTTTTCAACATTTTCAGTTTTTGGTTTGTTTAGCAAAGAATAATAAAACCCAGAGGTAATTAAATACCACCAAAAGAAAGTTCTATCTGTCTCAAAAAATGCTAAACATTTCATATGAGTACAGTGTTGCATGACCGCGCAATTGTCATTCAAAGTGTGACAGCACTGAAAGCTGGAAATTGGCCTGGGCAGGAAGGATGTATAAGTGTCCTGTAGGCAAGTGGTTAAAGTAGACCTATGAGAAAGCCATAGGAGGAATATAGGGGCTGTCATATTAATCCCACTTCTGAAAATGCTAATTTCCTGGCTGTCATACTGTTCCTTAATGGACTGGTAATTTTCTGATTCACTGACAAGGAACATTTCTACAGTGCAGGAAAGTCCAAGAAATGTCAGAAGTCCTTACACATTGATTTGTCTCAAAAAAGAAAGGTGTGCAAGTTTTGCGACTGTCTAGTCTTACTTGCAGAGGGAGTAAGATAAGAACTCTTGATTCCATCTGTTAAAACCCAGTTCCCGGGAAAACAGATTTTTATTTCACCCTTTGTGTGTCAGCTGTGTTTTATTCCCTGCCTTCCCTCTTATTATCCAGAACTGTAGCTGCATGGACTCAGCTTTTTAGCTAGATTGGTTTCTTTTTGGCCTGTGTACATGTATTGCTCGATGAATCCACCAGAGGGCACATTATACAGCATTTCTCCCTAGAAAAATAAAGATCTCAATCATTCAGCTCTTGCATTGATTTAATTTGTGTCATGCCTCCATAGGCTGTGAAACCCAGAATGTATGCATTCTGAAAAATGTGGGGATATCAAACCTTTCCTGCCTGTCTAATCATCCTTTCCCTTCTGTGTTGTGAATGTATCTCTCCTAGATTGTAAGCTCCAAGGAGCAGGGCCCTCCTATCCCTCTTGTATTGAACTATATTGTTGCTGTATTGTCTCCCATTATATTGTAAAGTGCTGAGCAAACTGTTGGCGCTATGTAAATCCTGTATAATAGTAATAATAATAACCATGTCCAAGTCCTGAACTGTTTAGTTGTTATACAGATTGAGGCACACTGTTGTTATATTGGACAATTCCTTGACGTCATTTCTTTTAATACGTTAAATTGAACATTTTTACGAGCACAGCGTGTGCTTTCAATGTAGTCTACTTTTTTTTTTTTTTTTTTTTTTTTTTTTTTTTTTTTTATATGTCACCCTGTAGTCAGTGGGTGATGCCCCATGCAGCTGTGAAGGCACACTTTAAGGTTACCTGTTTTGTATAGAAACTCTGCTTATCCTGCTTTCTTTCCTCTTCCTCTTTGAAATGCATACATTTGAGCACCAAGTGAATTCTAACTTTAAAGAGTATCTTCAGCCAGGGAAATTGGGCTGTGTATGTCTAACCACAGGTAGTTCAGTAACTGCTTATCTGTATTTAACAGACACAGAACTTTCCATATTGCAGAGAATTGAAGAAAACCGTTATGAGTGGGTTTATGCAGCAAAATAAATATGCCATCTTAAATTTTATTTGTGCAGGCTTATTTGAGAAAGATTTGTATTTGTTCTGATTAAGCATTACCTAATTAATTTGTCTGGGAGGCACTCTTGTAGCTGAGAGGCCCTCTCTGTTCTGACAATTGCTGCCTTGTGAAAATGGGAATTGTTAGAGTAACTCATTCAGCATTCACCCACCGAGTTATGAAAGAAAAAAAAAATATAT